GTTTATTCTCTCTTATTTCTTTCTTTTTTTGAGACAAGGTCTCACTATGCAGTTCAGGCTGGCCTTGAATTCACTATGTAGCCCAGGCTGGCCTCAAATTCGTACCAATCCTCCAGTGATCTTCCTGCCTCAGCCTCCAGAATGCTGTGCTTAAAGCTGTGCAATGATGCCCAACAGTGCTTATTATTCTTAAAGTAAAAGTAGTACACTTTCATTACAAAAACCTCAAAACAAAGCATGGAGGCACATGCTTGTAATTACCAGCTACTTGAGAGGGTGAAGCAGGGGACTGCAAGTTGAAACTAGTCTGGGCAACTCTGAATGACTATCTCAACAAAAAAGGGCTGGGAATACAGCTCAGTGTTCCTTGAGTTCAAGCTCCAGTAAAAACAAAAACATATATGAACAAAATCTTAAACCACAATAAAGTCTAAAACAAAAACAAAAACAGGGCCAGGATTTAGCTCAGTGGTTCCACCACCTGCCTTGCAAGTGCAAGGAGCAGAGTTTGATCTCCAGTACCAATAAGTAAGTAAGTAAGTAAATAAATAAATAAATAAGTAATTCCACTTCCCAGAAATGTTATTTTCATACTATAACAAGCAGGAAAGTGACATCACTGGGAAAAAAATAATAAAAATTCATATTAAGTTTCTCCTTATTCACTCATTCAAATATTTATGTAGTGCCTAAAATATTCTGATACAAGAGATCAAGGAGAGATCAAGATTTAGCAGGGTGTGGTGGCTCATCACACCTGTTATCCCAGCACTCAGGAGGCTGAGGCAGGAGGATCACAGAGAGTTCCAGGCCAGCCTGGGCTACATAGTGAGTTCAGGGTTAGCCTGAACGATGTATGAATCAAGACTCTGTCACAAAAAAATGAAAACAAAAAAAGATTTAGTCTTGGTTTTTTGTTTATTTTTTTCCAGTGCAGGGATCAAATTCAGGGCCTTGCGCTTGCCAGGCAGGTGCTTAGTTTGAGCTCAGAGGAAAACAGTAACTTGGGAGTCAACAGGAACTAATGAGGGATGATGGAAAGAGGAGCAGGATGCCTACTGATGAGAAATTAACTAGGCAAAAAAATCAGACCTGGCCTTTGAAGGGATGGGAAGGAATGTGCCAGGCAAAGTAAAAGAGGAAGGTCCCTTCACACAAAGTAAACACCAAGTGTAAGGAAATTTTGTAATTCAGATATAAGTTTTTTTTCTTTCTTCTTCCTCTTGGCCTCTACCCAATCACCATACCCACCCCCCTCAAAAAAAAAGCAAAGAAAGAAAGACCAAGCATTAAGGAAATAAAATCGTGAGGCTGAAAAAACACTTTAAAACCACCTGGAAGGTGGGAACAGAGAGAGTAGGCAAGCAACAACAAACAATACTTAAAAGTAGTCAAAAGAAATGAAGTATAGTTTTCTTTAAGTTTGGCCACAAACTCCATGACAATTCAAAATAGAAAAACAGATGAATGGGAGGCAAGTGGGACAATACATATATGAAAGTGTTCAACATCACTAGATAGCAAAGAGACCCAAACTGGAACAAAATAGGGCCGGGGATTTAGCTCAGTTGTTCTGCCACTTGCCTCACAAACAGAGGGATATGAGTTTGATCCCTGGTACTAAAAACAAAAGAAAAAAGAAAAAAAAAACTTGGAACAAAATACGTTTTTCTTCTATCAAAGAAGTTATCTCAGGTAAAATCTTCTACTGAAAGATGAAGGTGAAGACAGATTCGATGATTACTTACATGATAATGTTAAGTCTTAAAAAACTGGAACAGGGCTGGAGGGGTAGCTCAGTGGTTGAGCACAAGTTTAGCATGCAGACTGCCCAGTGTTCAATCTCACAAAACAAGGCTTTCGTAGTAAATAATGATATCAAATTGGAAGTTATCCATGTAGTCTGTCCCAGGAGTCCCTAAAGACAATTTATATCAGATTTTGAAGGATTTCCACTACCTATAAAATCATTCATCTGCATCCAAAAGAAAACTTAACCCAGAAGCCAGGCATGGTGGCATAAACCTGTAGTCTCAGCACTTGGGAGGATCCCTGCAAGTCTGAGGCCAGCCTGGGCTACACAGCCAAGGCCAACCTGAACTACATAGCAAGACCCTGTCTCAAAAAACAAAACAACAAAGAACTCACAACCTAGCCATGTGTTGCCTCATAAAATTAATTTGGATCATCTGCCCAAAAGAAGATAAGAAGATATCTTGTCCCTTTCTCCACTAGCCATCCCTCTACTTGGAGACCCATAATCAGTCTCAAAGAAACAAAACTACTTACTGTCAGCCACCCCTTGCTATGTAGAGGCAGTTCCTGTGGCAGCCTGACAGCAGGGCCTTCTTTTCTTCTCTGATTTTTCTTTTTTTCTTGGTACCGTGATCAAACTCAGGTCCTTGCACTTGCAAGGCAGGCAGTGGAACAACTGAGCTAAATCCCCGGGCCCTCTTCTCTGATTTTTCTATACATACGAACTACCATACAAGTACCCACATGCCTGCAAAGCTCAAGTGGAGGAGCTGTAAGGGGCAGAAATCCCTGGAATGACACACCCTTCCTGGAGGAACACTGGCTAGACCAGGAACGGCCCATACAGCAGCTCCCGGGAATCAGAGATGCTCACATTCTGTGCTAGGTCTGCAGCACACAGATGGAAACAGAGCAGGTAAATTCCCACTGCCCTCACCATGATAGATGACTGTCTATTGCAGGCTAGGGGCTGTGTTTAGTCTTCAGCACTGCACTTAAGCAGAGGATCGTCCAGAACCCCAGCCAACTGCAAAGCAAGGATCTCTCACAAATGCACAGCAGATATTAGTTACTATTAGGTGATAAATAAAACACTGATCCCAACAAAAATAAAGCAGCACCAGAGAGAGGAAAATTTACCCTTCACATGCAAGATATAACAAATCATAACAAGGTATAGTGGCACAGGCCTGTAATCCTAGCACTCAGTAGGCTGAGACAGGAGGATTGCTGAGTTCAAGGCTGGTCTTGAACTACACAGTGAGACCTTATCCCCCCGCCAAAAAAAAACAGGACAGAGACCTAACTTCTAAACACTGTTTGGCAAACTCTATGCAACAGGTATGTACCTAGAGAAAAGAATAAGATGCAATTAGATTGGTTTAAGAAGAATACCAGGATTTAGCCCAATGGTTCCGCCACCTGCTTTGCAAGCGCAAGGTCCCGAGTTCCATCCCCAGTACAAAAAAAAAAAAAGAAGGAAGAAGGAGATAAGGGAGCGGGCTAAGTTTCAAAAGGAAGAACACAAAACTGCATCAGGGAAGAAAAAGAAAAGCCATCCTACAATGCTGAAACAGATCCTAGTGAGGGATTAATGAATGTTCTAAAGAAAAATTATGAAGATGGAGATGATATGAAACGAACCATTAATAAAGCCGGGGTGGAATCAAGAGAGAAACAAGCCAAAGGAGACACAGAATTTTGAGAAAAGTTCTTTTGAGAACTATTATATGAAAATACCGGTATTTCCAATAAGGGAATGTTGGTGAACTAGCTGCACATATAAATTGGACAGATAACTACAAAGCCTTCAAAGTAAAGGCAATGAATTCTCCATTTCTTATTGGAGGACTTATTTAAATAAGATATGCATATTAAACATTTCCTCGTAAGATGGTTTCATTATATATACCCTGGTAATTTTGTTCAAGAAAGGGTTATACTGTATTCTTATTGAAATATAAAAGGCAAGTCTTATCTAAAGAAAACTATATTATGTGTATTTTTGTTCAGCTAGGAGGTAGAAAACAAAAGTATTTGCTTGCCTGTAAGTTACAGATGTCAGCTCCCACTAATATAAGAGTAAAACTGAATTTTTGTATTTAAAAAAAAAAACTGCAACAGGGCACGATGGTGCATCTCTGTAATCCCAGTACACAGGAGCCTGTGGCAGGAGGATCCCCCACAAGTTCAAGACCAGCCTTAAATACATAGTAAGACCCTGTCTCCCTGTCTCTCTCTCTCTCTCTCTCTCTCTCTCACACACATACACATACACAAAACCACACACACACTAGTATATTTAAAAAACAGGATGCATTTCAAATATAAGCAAACCAAACATATCTTGCAAAGTAAAAACAGAAAACATCAACAGATGAGCAACTAAACAAGATGCTGCTTGCACACACACACAATGGAATATTATTGAGCCTCCAAAGGAATTAAGTACTAATACACACTACACCATCTAAGAGTCTCGCAAACAGTGTGCTACCTGAAATAAACCAGACACAAGAGAGTAAATATTGTCAGATCCCCCTGTGAGGAAGCAAATGCACAATGACAGAAAGAAGACTGGAGGGGACGACTGACTGGAGGCCGGAACTGCGGACAAACAGGCAGTGAGTGTTTAGTGAGTACAGGGTTTCCATTGGGGACAGTAAAAGCCATCCTAGAGGTGAATGATGGTGATGGTTGCACAAGAACACAATGTACTTACAGCCAAAGAACCATGCACTTGAAAACAGGTAAGATGGTAATTTTAGGTTAAACACATTAAAAAAAATTTTTTTTTTTTTTTTTATACAGGGTCTCACTATGTAGTTGAGACTGACCTGGAACTCACTATGTAGCCCAGGATGGTCTTGAACTCACAGTGATCCTCCTGAGTGCTGGGATTACAGGCGTGCGCCACCACACCCAGCTTCAACGAAAATTCTTAAAAACACAAAGCAGCAGCAATAAATAGAAAACATAAAGCATTAAATAAACATACCTTGAAAGCAAACATTCATTATAATAACAGGTGTTTTCAGCATTCATTTTGGACAAAAAAAATAAACCACATGCCATTTAAAGAGACAACATAACAAAAGCGCAAAGGAAGATAAAAGTTCAATAATATAATGAATAAACAAAAGGTACAAACAGGGGTTTAAGAAATATATGAAAACATTAAATAGGACAACTTTTAAAAATTAACGTACAATCCATACAAAAGATCTTTATCAGTGAGAACTTACATGAACATCAAATAATACTGCATCAAAACATGACAAATGAGGGCCTGGGATTTAGCTCAGTGGTGCCACCGCCTGCCTTGCAAGTTCAAGGTCCTGAGTTCGATCCCTAACACCAAAAAACAAAACAAAACATGATAAATGAGAGAATGAGAAGACAGAACACAAAATCGAAGAAAATATTTGCAAGCATCTGATATCAAGGACTATTTCCCAAAACATACAAAGAACTCTCAAAATTCAGCATAGGAAAACCAACAGCCTAATTTTAAAAATGGGCAAAAGATCTGCTGAGATGCCCCAGCAAAAGATGACATACAGATGACAAAGCAACATGTGAAAAGATGCTAACCACTGTGCACCAAAAGGGAGCTGAGCACTTAAGAAGTGTTGAGATACTGCTTGCCACACATCTCTTAGAACGTAGCATCAACCTGAGCTCCCCATTCATTGCTGGTGGGAAGGCAAAATGGCACTGCTGCTTTAGGAAACAGTATAGCAATTTCTTACAAAACTAAATACTCTCCTACCATATACAATCCAGCAACCATGATGCTCCTAAGCATTTGAAAATTTGTATCTACACAAAAATCTACATGGAAGGACAAGGATTTGAACAGAGATTGCTTCTAAGACAATATATAGATGGCAAGCACATGAAAAAATGCTGAACATCACTAATCAATAGGGAAATGCAAATCAAAACTATAAGAAGATACCACCTCATACCCATTAGGGTGGCTATGATTAAAAGCCCCTGGAAAATAAAAAGTGCAGCACAGATGAAAAAGAAACAAGAATCCCTGTGCACTGCAGGTGGAAATGTAAAACAGTACAACCACGGTGGAAGAGTTCGGTGTCCTCAAAACATACAAAACTAGACACACAAAAACAAGAAGTTCCACTTCTTAGAAAAAGGATCTGAGAGAAATATGTGTGCACATGTATGACTGTGTTCACAGAAACCTTATGCACAACAGGTACAATATGAAAACTCAACCCGAAGCCCAAGTTCCATCCCCAGTACTAAGGGGGAGGGGGGCGCACGCAAAAACACTCTTCATGGAATCACAGCACGCACGAAGCTGATAGGAGGATCACAAGTTCAATGCCAGCCTGAATTACATGGTGAGACAACACTGGTGCTTATTTCTAACTTTTTTTTTGGAGACAAGAGTCTTGCTATGTATCTCAGACTGGCCTCACATTCACAGAGATCCTCCTACCCCAACTGGGATTACAGACATGCATCATTATGCCCAGGTCTTAATTTCTTAAATAAAACTTCTGACAAGGGGCAAATACCTCAAGGAAGAGGACTACAAAGTGAGGAAGGAGTAATTTTCACATTTTACTCTAAATAATCAACTTATTTGAACCTTTTATAATGAGAAATTTATTTTTTAAAAAAAGATGAAAAAGTCAGGCGTGGTGGCACATGCCTGTAATCCCAGCATTTGGGAGGCTGAGCAGGAGGATCGCTCTGAGTTTGAGACCAGCCTGGGCTACATAGTGAGTTCCAGGGCAGTCTCAACTACAGTGAGACCCTCTCCCCCGACCAAAAACAAACAAACAAAAAAACCCAAAAAACAAAAGACAAAAAATCACCACTATTCTAAATCTATCATACGGTTTTCTCTGACAGGTAAAACTAAGGTGATTTTTGTTCTGTTTCAGAATAGTTTTCACTACTTTCTAAGTTTTCCATGAGAAATATGAGTACTTTTGGGCTGAAAACATAACTCAGTGGTAGCCCACTCAAAACTTTTTTTTTTTGGTATTAGGCGTTTTGCTTCCGAGGCAGTCACCGGAACCACTGAGCTAAATCCCCAGTCCCCCACCAAAACTATTTTTAAAAAATCTCTACCTTATTTCAACAGCAGAACTACTTTGTATTTTATTCTGAAAAATATGTTTTAATTTTGGTCACAGTCTCAGAAATTTGATTCTGTGATTCCAACCTTCTTTAGAAAGCAATTTTTTTTTTTTTTTTGTGCTGGGCACCGAACTTGGGACCTTATGCTTGTGAGGCAGGTGGCAGCACCACTGAACTAAATCCCCGGCCCAAGAAAGCAATTTTAAATCTAAATTTAAAAGTATATTTGTTGTAAAACATTCTATGGCATTTAAGATCAGACTATTAGCTAAAGTTTGTTAAGCACTGCTTTATCTGCATTACTGCAGTTGGTCTATTAAACTGATAGCTCTATTAAACTTATATTGTTATTATCATCCCCCATCACCATGTTACAGATAAGAAAACTGTCTTGAAAAGAATGTGTCTTGTCCAGGGTCAAGTAGAAGGGCCAGGATTCAAACCCTGGTCTTCAGCTTCTGAGCAGTGGATACATGGAATAAGAAGTAATATACTTGTGATTGAGCTAGAATAATGAATATTTGTTTGAAATATACCACAGATAAAAGGCTACAACTCTGAAATCCTGAAAGTTCAGACTAACTACCCCAACCAGTGACCTAAGAAATAAGTGAAACTGTTCTGATCACAAAACTGTCAGTATTTGAAGATTATTTCCCTACTTTTTCTGCTTCTTTAAAGGAAAAAGGAGGTCTGGGGATTTAGCTCAGTGGTTCCGCTGTATCTATTTATTCTATCCTCAGCTACTTACTTACATAAATTCTCTAGTTTTAAAAAGGTGTAATTGAAAGTTTACCCTTAGCCACCAGAACAAGTTCTAAGTTCCCCTTTTAAAACATATAATTGAAAAGAAAAACAAACTACAGTTAACCATGTCTACTTGGAAACCAGCCTATAAAGATCAGTGCGACCCCAGGAACCCTTAATCATTTTAGTAGATCTACATCCATTGCAAACTTACTGTTGTCACTTTATGAATTTGGGTTTGGAGCATGCCTACTAATGTCCCCAAGTCCAGAAGTTATGTTTCTGAGTGAAAGCAAACCTGGAATCAAGGGTCTATGGGAAGTGAAACATCCAGTAACTCTTAAAAAATATCTGCTCGTTGGCTTAGTGGTACACACCTATAATCCCAGCCCACTGGAGACAGACACAGGAGAACACTTGAGCCCAGAAGTTTGAGGCCAGCCTGGGCAACACAGTGAGGACCTTTCTCAAAAAAAAAAAGTGGCAGAGAAGCTGACATCAACAGATCAAGTTTCATATGCCAACATTTCCTCACCTTAATTCCTCAGGTCGACAGGATGTATCATGTACAGAGGCAATTTCCCTATAATAAGCGTTATCATTATATATGCCTAAAATATACCAATAAGGAATTTTGCTGTTAAAAAATTAAAAAAGAGCAGAATTCCTCAAGTCAGCAAGACATCCCACTTACGTTAAGGACAATTATTAACAGCAAATGATGACAGCATGGAAGCCGAATACTAAGCAATTTTTTCACAGAGCCTGCTAGAAGAAATAACAATGAACTATTTGGTGAAAAGACAAAAATATATCAAATTTAGGTCACTCTCCTTAATCAAAATCTGAACGTTAAAGACCTACACGTATTACAGGTCAACAACATGAACTTCAGTTTCCATAATGCAAATGTAAATCAGTGTTTTTGGCTAATTAATAGCTAGAAAGACTTAAAAGCCGAGGATGAAAGATTATAAGTTCACTCAAATCAATAACCCTAAAATATGAAATAGGCTTTCACTTCTCTGTATATAACATATACAAAGCGAGACATAGTAGCCGGGGATTTAGCTCAGTGGTTCTGCCGCCTGACTCGAAAGCACAAGGACCTGAGTTCGATCCCTGGTACAAAAAAAAAAAAAAAAAAAAAAAAAAAAAAAAAAATCACACAACATAAACTTAGAGGTGAGCGTAAATGCTTTACAAATGCCACAGAGCTTCTGGCAAAGTTGACAAGTTTAAACCTGCTTCAAAAATTACTATTCACCGTCTTCATCCCAATCTGACTTCACTTGATGTTACTCTTTTGGACAACCCTACAAAAGCAAAAGCCCAGAGCAAATTCTTGTACATTTCAATATCCTGCCTACTTATAAGAGCGGAAGAGTCCGACACAGCAGGGAAAAAAACGTGACGCGCACAACCTTGATCCAAAATACAGCTCGTTGCAGTCTAATTTTAGGCCTAACCATTTGATTCGTCTTTTTCGCGGAGGTGAAAAAAGAAAAAAACTACTGCTCGTTTGTAAGGGAGAACCGAGATAGCAGTGGGAGTTGGTCACTTATCAAAGGCGGAAAACAAATCACGCTCACACAGCAAGTATTCCCATTAAAATGAAGTTAGAGGGAGCGGACAGCTCACAAACTGACAATGGCAGTGACCTGACACATTTCGGCTCCGGATGACTTTATCTGTAAAGAATTAGCCGAAAAGGTTGAGTCCAGAGGGGAATCTGCGCCGGCGTTTGGGGCGCGCGCGCGTGCAATTCGAAGAAAGCCAAACATGGTGAGGAGCCTGTCTGGACTTCACCTAAGTCACCTAAAGACTCGAAACTCACCTCCGGCTGGGGACCGAGAACGCGAGAGGACGGCACCGCTCCCTCACGCGCCCGAGCCGGAGCCCCGGGCGCGGGGCGGAACGG